CTCTGGCTGCTGGGCCTTCAATTATTTCCAACAGTTTCATAACTGTAACTAACCCTTTGCGATCTTCATTAAAAATTATTACTGCTAAATAAGTTGAAATTTTAAACTATTTAATCAAGTTTTTTTAAGTAATTAAAAAAAATTCAATAAAATAGTTAAAATAATAGTATTTTAGTTAAATATTTTGATTGGAGTGAGAAAATCTTTTAATCAACTGAAGTCTGAAGTTCATATGATCACAAAGATCATAGATATCATTATATAGATATCAGATACCTTAGATTATTATTTTGATAGGTGAATATATGAAATATTTTGATAGGAGTGCGAAAATCTTTTAATCAACTGAAGTCTCAAGTTCACATGATCATAAAGATCACAGATATCATTATATAGATATCAGATACCATAGATTATTATTTTGATAGGTGAATACATGAAATATTTTGATTGGAGTGCGAAAATCTTTTAATCAACTGAAGACTTAAGTTCACATGATCATAAATATCATAGATATCATTATATAGATATCAGATACCATAGATTATTATTTTGATAGGTGAATACATGACATATTTTGATAGGAGTGAGAAAATCTTTTAATCAATTGAGTTCTTATGTTCACATGATCCTATATATCATAGCGCGGCCTGCGGTGCACGCCGCATTCGACTAACAATTTTTGCGAAAATCAATTCACTATTTTGACACAGTAATTTTGAAAGAATAAACTATCAAAAAAGATAATATGTATTTTTCCATTTTTGTAAACTTATCTGTGTTGTTCACCCTTAAATAAAAAGTGATTTAAGAAAAAAACTTATGAGGAAAATACTTATTCCTTAAAAAAATTTTGTTTACAATAAACTCATTTTTTAAATCTAGTGTCAATTTACATTAAAGTTTTTATATTTTAAATAGCTACTAAATCTAGTCCACAAAATGAGCAATTGATGACATAAATTAAGAAGCATTCCTAGTTTTAAAAACTATTTACTTTAACATTCTTTTTGAGAAATGTTCTATTATGGCTTAAATATTTGTGCCAAAAATACTTCAAATGAAAAAACAGCATATAATATTTAAAAAATGAATAAATATACTGCGAAAAAAATGACTCAGAGAAACAGTTTTTATGCCCACTGATTTATTCCCTCCATTAAACCCAAAGATATACTTTTTTTTCAAAAAAGAAAAAAAAAATCTCGAGTGTAAATTCTTTCATAAGAGCTGTGATTTAAGTTATGTTTTATTTTTATTTTAATATGATGGGCAAATAAAATCATTAATAGTTATTTCTCTAGAAGAAATGATGCGAACGAAAAAAATTATGGTAATATTTTTCAACAAGTTTTTCTAACTTGTTGAAAAATGTTATCAATTAACCGATGAAGGGTTTTTAGTCGATTCGGAATATTTTTTATTGCCATGTTGCCATCATTTTTTTCATGATGAAAATGGTGAACACTGATTTATTTAAAAGTTTTCAATTATTATGGTAGTGTAGGATTATATAATAAAAATGTATTTGTTTATGCGTTTTAATTGTCAAGTATTTTATAAAGCGATGAAAGTAGGGACATATACAAGAGACGTATTAATTTATACATTTTGTACTGTTAAATTCTTATAAAAATAACAGCAATAGTAATGCCATGTAAAATTTAGAATCTGAACCAAAATTATTGAGTCAAAAAACTACTATTACATGAGCTACACTACGTATCAAAACAGAAAATTCGCAATAAAAAAATAGCACCCTTTTATTGTTATGCATGGGTTTTTGCAACGACATCTCTTTATGTATTATCAAATGCAGGATAAAAAATACAGCTTTATAACCTTGAAAAAGATTTTTCTCATAGTCACCTTGCAACTGTTTCTTCTAACAATGAAACAGGCTTCTATTCCTTTAGTCTCATCTTCCTTATTAGTGATTCGTTCTTAGAAATGCTGATAGCTTTCGATAGCTTTTTGTTTTTTATCTATTGTTCATATAAAAAGGAATTATTTAAATTTATTTTCATCTTGAAATTAATTTTTGATGAATTGGGATGCAAAATTGGATGCAAAAAATTTTCGATTCGTTCAAAGTTCTCAAGATACGGTAAAAAATCAAACATCAAAATTAACATTCGAGGTCTACACTTTTCGATCACATTCCTAAATAAAGTGTTTCGGGACCATATTTTTCAGACTGCGACTACCCCCGCCCCAAAATCCATAAAAAATGTATGTCTATTCAGAAATAGAACATTTTAGTAATTGCTTCCATAACTTAATAGTTAATATTAATTAATCGCATTAAATAGTTAGCATTAATGAATTTGAGATGATCCCTTTTCAAGTCACTCAGCTTTGCATATTTACTTCAAAAAAATTCGAAAACTTAAACAAAAGTTAACCAGGAAGTTATTATTTTATTTTTTATTTGTTCAATTTTTTTCTTACTGTACATTTTTCCCAAGCAGAACATTTTTTTGTCTTCCAAATCGTAGTTTTACTCTAATAATAAAAGTTTCAGCTTAAAATTACTTATTTACTCTTGAATATTTTCTTTTCTTATTTATCAGCAAGTTAAGATGGATAACATTTGTGAAGCAATTTGAAATGAGGTAATTTAAATCGAGTTACATTACTCAAATAAATATATTTATACAGATGAAGATAAAATCACCTTGATTCGAGAAATATGGTGGAGAAGGATAAGAGCAAGTAGTGGAGTGAGAGAGAGTACCTCGATTCGAGAAATATGGTGGAGAACAGGTAGTGGGGTGAGAGAGAGTACCTCGATTCGAGAAATATGGTGGAGAACAGGTAGTGGGGTGAGAGAGAGAGAGAGAGTACTTCGATTCGAGAAATATGCTGGAAAACAGGTAGTGGGGTGAGAGAAAGTACCTCGATTCCAGAAATATGGTAGAGAAGGATAAGAGCAAGTAGTGGGGTGAGAGAGGGTACCTCGATTCGAGAAATATGGTGGAGAAGGACAAGAGCAGGTAATGGGGTGAGAGAGGGTACCTCGATTGTACCGAAATAAGTTCTGTTTTTTAGCGAACAAACACTGAATTATAATTTGCCAGTCCGGAAGGACTTATTACATTAGCATGTAGTTGTTGTCTGTAGATAAGTTTGTTTTACTTTGTCAACCCTCAAATGCTCTTATGTTTTTTTTTATTTTATTTATTTAACCTTAATTATTGTTGGTCATTAGAGTTACAAAAATTATTTTTAGTCTAGCTTATTATATGCTTACAAAAGATTCATATCTGAACAAGGAATGACGATTTTATCCTATAATAGGGTTGTTCTGTTACGTTTCGATAACCTCTGGCTTGAATGTAAGACCGGGTACTACCCGTTTTCGCTCCGACCCCCTTGATGTGAGCTTATGCAGGACCCACAAAAGCTGCAGTACTGCGGATGAAGAAGATAACTGCATCCATGGTTGAATAAAGGTTTTACGGTTCCCTTCTTCAAAGCAAAATAATCTTTATTTTAGTATTTTGTAGAACTTCTGAAGAACCTACAAAATTTTAGTTTTTATATAAATATAAAGAAATTCTCAGTACTTTTCTTTTAAAAAATAGTAAATTATTCTACATTAATTAGTTCGGAATAATTAATAATTAATTCTTGAAAATAGTCCCTTCTTCCCCCTTCCTGATGCACGGGCTTGACTGCATCATATGTATATTATACGCATAACTTTCTGAAATTGTCATATTCGTGCTTTAAATCACTGAAAACATCTGTTCTTACAAGCGGAAATATCCTACAAGCTCAAAATTGAAGTAAGAATAACTTTATCTTGGAAGAATGACTCAAAAACCGTTGTCAAATTGAAAAATTGTGCAAATAATTTAGAGATAGATGGAAAGATAACTAAGGTTAGGTAACGAATCGAACCTGTTGCATATACATTTTTAGAGAGTTTGGTAGAGAGTGCACCTGCAACCAGACGATTTTTTATTTGGTAGGCTTCAAATTGTTAGGCAGAAGAACAATCAGTCTTTCACAATGGGTGGACGCTGAAGCCTAAACTTGAGTACTTCAAAGGCTTATCAGTTTTTGTCAAATGGAAGAGCAGATTGAACAAATTATGTGAAGACATTACAAAGTGAGAATGAAATACAGATTCAGGTTTACAGCGATAACTAAACCATGTGTACTTCAGACTTTCTTTTCCAGTAAGTCACTTCCTCTGCGAAGAATCAAAACTGTCTTTGGATCATCCTCAAGGATATTTCACATGCCGTCGCCAATAGCCCATTCTCAGCTCTAGTGCGACGTAAATTAATCAGTACTACCACTACCACTACCTTCTTCAATTGAGCATTTGTCTGCTACTCGCTTATAAACTTTGATATTTTTCAGTGACCATGGTAAACAAACCTGAAATCTCCTATGTCACAATCCAGAGCCTTTATATATAAGTTACTTTGAATTTTCCTACTTAATAACGTATATCTTTATTTATTTTCTGACGCATGCATATGTAGGCCCGTGTGCTTAATACAAGGAACAATTTATTAACGTCGTCGTAGTTAATTTACGTCGCACTAGAGCTGGACAATGGGCTATTGGCTATGGTCTGGGAAACATCCCTGAGGATGATCCGAAGATATGCCATCACAATTTCGATCCTCTGCAGAGGGGATGGCACCCCCGCTTCGGTAGCCCGACGACCTGCACGCGAAGTCGAGCACTTTACGGTAGAACAGTTTAACGAGGACCAATACTGCACACACTCGGTCCCTACGCAGACTGATCCAAGTGGTCACCCACCCACACACTGACCGCAGCCAGTGATGCTTGACTTCTGTGATCTGCTGGGAGCCGTGTCTTAACGATCAGTCTACTGCGGGACACACAGTTTATTAACATTTGTCAAAAAAAGTATTGATAGTACAAGTTAAAAATAGCACATAGATATATCCAGAGTGACAATAGAACTCGAACCCGCTACCTTCTTCAGAGCATTTGACTTTACCCTTCGGCCACGGAGGCCTTTATTTTTTGACACCGGAAAAAAATTGAATAACTGCAAGCGTATTTAATTATTCATCCTTTAAATTACACTGGATTCGCGTTTTTTTTCCTAGTTCGTAATAGAGTGTTAGTGTTTGCTCAGGCTCTTGGTTAATAAGGTATGTAGAAAATTTGGTATCTTAATGACTGTTTTTTGTGCTTTATAAAAGTTTTCCCGATATTTAATGTAAGCAGTTCAATATCACAAATTCACCATTACTGTCTTTAAATGTTTTTTGAAGATGCATAAATCCTTTATATATTGAATTTTTTTAATTATTAATATTGACTTTTTTACATACATATAACTTAATATCTTGAATAAGTTTCTCAATTTCTTTCTAAACTCCAAAATGTTTAATCTTTGTCCAAATTTGGTTAGTTGAACAAAAAGGTGGTCTTACTACTAGTCTTCTGAATGAATTAGTATATAGACAGATTTTTTTTTGTATGCCTATTGTATGACAGAGCAACAACTTTATTTTATAACTTATGTTTGTTCAAATTCCATTAATTCTTATTTATGATTTACCGAATCTATAAGGCAAGGTGATTGTAGAATCTGAAATTTCCGTTATTCTATAAATCCTAGAATTTTATTATAATTGTGAAAAAAACTCAAACTTGAACTAAGATATTTGATATAAATTTCTTACAAATTGGGAATAACTAGGAAAATGCAAAATTCAATTGTCTGAATTTCATATATACTATGACTAAATTGTTCAAACTGAACTTCATCAGATTAAATTTTTTAAGTTGGTTGGAAAATTTTTCTTTTCCTCGGAAGATTTTTAAGCATTTTTATTTTGAACCACTCTGAATATTTTCTGATTTCTTGAAATCAATTTAAATATGTTAGCACTTTCTTTTTATGAATATGGACTTTGAAAACATTGATGTGTGATTAGTTATCCTATGAATTGTTTTCTTTAAGTTTGTTTTTTATATTGTATAGTTATACTGTATACTGTAATATAATCTTTCCAAATTCGGTGCTGAACGACCCAACAGAATTATTTAAAGAAATAATTCATTTAAAGTTAGCACCAAATGGAGCTTTCATATAAAAATTGAAGGTTTATTTAAATCTAAACACTCCTTAAGTAAAAGACATGCACCAAACTCTCGCTTTCACAATTTTGATTTCTAGCAGCAGCAGTCCAGCAGTATTACTCACTGGATTGCAAAAGCACTCCGCACAGACCCATAAGGAATAACATTAAAACATTCGAAATATAAAAACAATTCGAAAAAAGAAACATTAAATAGAATATCAACAATAGTAATATACAGAAAGACAGTCACTTAGCAGTGCCTGCAACTGTTCCCTTGCATTCCAGTATCTGTCATTGATGTTGCCAATAATTGCGAGGCTGATCCCCAGATGCTCAGCATTCATTGGGGGAGTCCTCCCCGCACAAGACACAGTTTGGATTGGGAAAGATTGTAAGTCAATGGAGGTGAGCAGCAAGGCAGCCGTGGCCGGTTTCCAACCTAAGGACAGCAACCGCAATGCGTCTCGGGTGATCAGGGATCTACTTCAGAGTCGCTCTCCAGATCTTGTCACCAATTTCTTCATTTAAATTTTCAGCAATCTTAATTATCGCGTTATTAATTATTCTATTTATGGAAGAGTAAGGAATTTTTATCTGAGAGCTCTGTAAAATACTAGTTCCTTTTTTAGCAAGATTTGTCATCTCGTTGCTTTCACATCTTACGTGAATTATTTTCTCTTCAAAAAAGCACTAATGTCTGTGAAATTAAGATATCGTCGATCGCTTGCATACAAAAAAGTGCGAGTTGGCGTAATTTAATCTTCTATGTTGCGATATATTTACGGAAACACAAACCTTCCTGTGAAAGGTGTGTTTTAGTTGTGCAATAAGAATATTTATATTAACTTTTGAAGCACCTTGAACTGCATTAAGTAATTTTATGATGTATAATTTCTATCAAACTTTGATCTGTTAAGCATAGTTTAAATTCGTCTTAATATGTCCTGCTCTACACGTATGTTTTATTTGCAAACTACTTTAATTTTTAGAATGTATATGTAAATTCTAAACTAGTAATTCTTACTTTATTGTATAGTAAAAATATTTTACAGACTCTTCATTACTATTTAATTCGTATTTTATCTTACCGTACTTTATTTTGGCGTTACTAGGTTTGGTGTTATTAATTTTGGTGTTCCGAAAATCAAAAGTGGTAGATATTTTTCAAATAGTGAGATAGCTTTCTTGGGTGGAGTATTCCTTACACTAGGAAATGCAGGGTAGAAACCGTCGAAGAAACGCTCGCTAACAATTGACAAAACTTTTGGAACTACATATTTTTTGTTAAAAACATAGCTGTGTATTTTGTAGTTGAAATATTTAACAATTTCAATCTATGCTATAAAGTTTTCACAGAATCCTCTCAAAATATAAAGTTTTTATGCTAGATTAGAGGTATTTCATTTAAAATCAAATTTCATCTTATAACAGAACACATCAAGAGTAAACTTAGACTAGTTGGAATAAATATTAAAATATTTAATCTTAATTTTAAATATTTCTATTTTAACTAAAATGTCACTTCCTCCCTCCCCTCCAAGATAGATACTTAAGAAAGACAACTGAATCAAAATGTAAAATGCTTTACAAAAACAAATTTTCATTATTAGTCTTCGATCGCTTTTTTTTATATCGAATATTTAAATCTAGCCAAAAATCCTAATCATTCTATATACTTAAGTATTCAGACGTACTTCAAATTTACCAATCGGGATCACTGTTTCGACCATTTTTTTAATGACTACTTTAAAGCTTAGAATGCTCTCATATACCCAAGATATGATGTCTATTGCTTCTAGAATTTTTTTTCTGGAAACTTTGACATTCAGAAGATAATAAAGATTGTTATCGCGACGGAATGTCTTGTAAATGGATCTTTAGCAAATAAACTGCTATTAATATTTTTTTTTATTGCAGCCAAAGGAATTATATTTCTTAAGATAATTTCAAATCATTTGTTCGTTTGATTTGGGGTTTAGAAATTGATGTTTACTGCTAATTTCATACAGAAAGCAAGATTCGCTAATTTACGAATCTCTTCCCCTTCCCAAGGCAATTTGACGAATATTTCAGGAATATGTTTTTGAAGGCATTTTTAAGATACGCTGACCTAAAGAATCTAGATTTGGGAAGTTTTTCAAAGGTGATACAAAATTTTAAGTATTGGTAGGTATAGGGTGAAATTAACTGCTGCCGCAGGGAGACTTATAATAGCAATTAAAAAAAATTCTCTCGGTAGCCACTCAATCACCACAATTTTCGTCAAACGTACATTTTGTTCTAATAAATATGAATTAATTCTGCGTTTTATGATCTGAAAATTAATTTCACGTAAATTTCTTAATTTTTTCTTTTTGAGATCTTTACCTTTCGAAATTTAAAATGTTTCTAACGAGACGCCTGGCATTAAGTTTCTATCCTTTAAAATTTAAAAAAAAAAACAAAAAAAAACTGGCTGCATTTTGGAAAGTAGCCACTGTTAAAAGTACTAAAACTGGTCACTAGCCAGCAGCAAGTTTCTCCAACTCAGACTTATAACTGTAGGATATATAATCATTTTTTTAGGAAAATGAGGGAGTGTATAAGTGTACATGTTGGTCAAGCAGGAGTTCAAATCGGAAACTCCTGCTGGGAATTGTACTGCCTGGAACACGGTATCCAACCTGACGGTCAAATGCTGAGTAATCAAGCCTCCACAAGCAGTGGCGATGATAGCTTCCACACATTTTTCAGCGACACCAGGAATGGAAAGTATGTCCCAAGAGCCATTATGGTTGACTTGGAACCGTCAGTTGTCGACGAAATAAGGAACGGAAAATACAGACAACTGTTCCACCCAGAACAACTGATAACTGGAAAAGAAGATGCAGCAAACAATTACGCCAGAGGTCACTATACCATTGGAAAAGAACACGTTGATTCTGTTTTGGATCGCGTTCGAAAGCTTGCTGACCAGTGTACTGGCCTTCAGGGATTTCTTATTTTCCACAGTTTTGGAGGTGGTACTGGTTCAGGATTTACATCTTTGCTGATGGAGCGTTTGTCTGTTGACTACGGAAAAAAAGCAAAGTTGGAATTCGCAGTTTACCCAGCCCCACAGGTATGTAAAACTTCATTCTAAAGACTTTTTCAGTAAGTCTGAACTTATATTAATACAAATCTAAACTGAAATAAAAAAATAAATATCGGTAAAATTTCTTCAATTTCCACCTTCAATTTTATTTTGATATTTTAACTGATAGGAAAAGCAACCTGTTTAGAGTTTAAAAAAATCAGTATAACGTTTCATATTTTTCTTTATAAAAATAGTGATAACTTAGACTATTCACTAGACTTTTGCCCTTTTTAAAAAATGGAATTAGTCCATTTATTCAAAATATTTAAGGGTTAGTATTTGATTTAATTTAAAAATAATGGCAAAGGTTAATGAGCCCTATAATATGATTTAACTTTAAAATGTAGTATCGATTATTAAAATCAGGGAAGTAACTGAACTCCAAATAAGCTTATTCCTCTTTCAGAATAACATTTCATACGAAAAAAAAGGAATGTTAAGTGAATCTTTCTATACACATTAACTTTAATGTAAATTTTTGAAGCAAATAAATGCAGACTTGAAAGGCCACATAACTACGAATTCATGACAAATAGGTGTGATGCAAGGTAACTCATTGTTGTATTGTTCTTGTTGGTTTTGAGGTCTTATACAGTGGTAATTTTATTTGTATTCGCTTCGATAACAATTATATTTTAAATACGAAAGCTGTGATGAATACAGAAAACACAAACCAAACAGCAGAACTAGGCAAAATCGAGCAAATTACTTTGCCATCTTTAGCGTCAATTTATATTACAAACTCTGAAATTGCATTGGTTCTTATTCTCAGTGTTGCCTAACTAGATTATTTCCAATGCAAACAGTAATTTTGGAAAGTAAACTAAATGTTTTTAAATTTATTAGAAGCTAACTTATTCAGCGATAAAAATTTTATCTAATTACTTTTATCTAATTACTTAATTACTTTTATCTAATTATTAGATACTGTATTGGGATAAATTGAATGTATGATTTAAGAGATTAAAAATGAGTTTATACTTTGCTAAAACTATTTTATTTTAAAAAGTGAGCTTATATTCCACTTTAGAAAATAGCTGCTTAGTTTGCTTTCTCCTTATTATTTCTAAACTTATTTTGTGACTTACCCATACCTTTCCCCCACTAGAGCCTTAATATTTTTAAAGTATTCGTAGTATTAATAGGTCACTTTTACTAAAAATTGTTTTCTGAAACTACGGAAATTCAGTAGTTGGAAGGTTTGGCTTTAAGACTGTATCAATAGGCCGATTTTTATTTTGTTAGGTATCAACTGCTGTAGTAGAGCCTTACAATTCTGTACTGACGACACACACCACTCTGGAGCATTCAGACTGTGCCTTTATGGTGGATAACGAGGCCATCTACAACATCTGCCACAAGAACCTGGGAGTGGATAGGCCATCTTATACGAATCTCAACAGGCTCATTGGGCAGGTAGTGTCATCCATAACAGCTTCACTTAGGTTCGACGGAGCCCTGAATGTTGACCTGACAGAGTTTCAAACAAATCTCGTACCTTATCCCAGGTAGATCGTATTTTATTTTTAGATTAACGTTGCATCAAATCACTTAAATGAATCTGCTATGTAAGATACCCACATACGGTCGGAGCCAAAATTTTTAAGTTTCGAATTTGGAAGGTATGTGTTATACACTGAAACACACTATGAATACAAGACATAAATTTCTTTTTACAAAATATGAGGGGGAAATTAGTCAAACATTGAGCTTTCAAGTGAGAATTTTGTTAAATTTGTGTGAAAGCCGACCCATATTATAAACCCATATTGAAAAGACTAAATTTTCAAAATGAAAACTTGATATGTTGAGTGAAAATATATCAACATTACAAGATATTTGAAAAAACAGATCAGCATTATGCCCTGTAGTAAATTAAAGTTTATACTTTGCTAATAGGAAATCAATCAAGACTTCTCTTTGGGTCGTTTTTTCTTCATCAGTATATCCAGATTATTTTCAGAACCGTTTGATCAGCTGTCTAGGCATTCGTATTATCACCTGAAACCAGATTTACATGCTGGCAGAAAATGCAATATTTGCTTGGAAATATGTTGCTTAGAAACTCATGAGAATATTTTTAAAATTCAATTAAATTCTGTATTTTAATTATTACAGGAAACTGTTAACTTTAATTTTTAGCATTTCTTACGAATTGTGAAATTAATGAGTAACATTTTGATCAGGATTCTGTTTAACGATTAAAAAATCTTTATTCAAACGTTCCGAAAGCTTATTTAAATAGAATTCGTTTTTTAAGTCACTAAATTGTTATAAATTCTGTTCAATGTACGGCACACTGGGTTTAAGGAGGATGATATATCCTTGACGTTTGGAACATTATAGCTACATGACTTAACCATTCAATTCATTCAAACCCTTTAATTTGATTAGTAAAGTTTTGAATTTAAAAGATTGGGACATTATTATGATTTTTTTCAAAGGTATGAATTTTACACAAGTGTTCAATTTTTAATTTCAAGATGAGTTAATTAAATATTTTCAGTAATTCCTTACAGTAGCAAGTTACATATAATCTAAAGAACTCCCTACTCCGGTCTCCTGGAGCAGTGGCTGTGACTATGGTTAGGAGGTTTAGCTACTTAGTTTTTCCAATCCTTAAGAAATGTATTTGCTCGGATCAGCGTGAGAAAAGTTATCCTCTTTGAAATGACCTCTCTTGTTTCCATAGCAGCAGCCGGTCTTAGACTTTTGTCTATAGAAAGAACTTTCCTTGCCACAAGGTATAGAAACAGTGACTAAATCTCTAAGCAAAATTATGACAAGTACTATCTTAATGAAGAGAAACTATCTGGACTTAAAAATGGACAAATAAAATTTAATAAAATTCTTACTCTTCAGTCAGTTTCCTACTTGAGAAAATTTTTTAAAATGACTGAATAAGTATAAATTTTTACATTTTGAGAATTCAAAGTAAAAACAGTGTAAATTGCTAGAATTGTGTCGTTTTCGTAGTGTAGAGGTCGCAGGCGTCAAAACTTAACTGTCTTTATTAACTGATACTAACTCAGTGGAGTTCCGAAAAATTAAGTATGCAATTCACTAAATATCGGTTACATATTTCAGCGTTCAAACACAAATTTTAATCAAAACTTCAATATCTAATAAGGAGCAAAATGTCTTGATACAGCTGTGGTTGGTTATTAAATCTTATTTTCTGATTCCAGGATCCATTTTCCATTAGTAACCTATGCTCCCATTATTTCTGCGGAAAAAGCGTATCACGAACAGTTTACAGTAGGGGATATTACAAATTCCTGCTTTGAGCCTGAAAATCAGATGGTGAAGTGTGATCCACGGCATGGAAAATACATGGCTTGCTGTCTTCTGTATCGGGGAGACGTCGTACCAAAAGATGTCAATGCTGCTATTTCAGCCATCAAAACAAAGCGTTCTATCCAGTTTGTAGATTGGTGCCCCACCGGTTTTAAGGTATTCAGTCTAATTAGTTGTATTCTTCCTTACATCTTTCCGCTTATTTTGCTTAAACTTTAAAGTTTGATTACAGGGACCTTCTCAAAATTTTGGAATAATGGAAACAGCAGCTAATTCTGAATTCCTCTGATATTTTTTATAAGCTCTACATATCAACTAATGAACTTTTATATTTGAAATTTAATAGTATAATTTTTCATTGAATCAAACCTGGCGGGAACTGTATGCTCTAATATTTTCCGTTAAATAAAAGTGCCACAACACTTGCGTACTTCATTTTTAAAACTTATTTTATTCTTTTACTGGGTAAGATATCTTGGTTGGTAGGGTGTTAGGCTCTTGTCCAAGAAGTCGTGGGTTCGATCTCTGTCGGACGTAGACTTCCTGTGTAGTAATGTTGACTGGTGCACGTTAAATCCAATGGGTCACAATGTTCCATAACAAATCATTCCCCTGGAGTTACTGAATTAGATTGATCATTCTCCGGTTCATTTCAAAATTATGATCTGCTAGTGAATAATGTATGAATAGGTTCATCCTATAAACTGGTTGTGAGGCGTGTGTGGCTGAAGTCTTATTATTGGCCATAAAGAGCACAACTGAAAAATAAGAGTATAATTTGCCTTCAATTCGCTTTGTTTCGCCTAACAGGCTTGGTGATATTGGCAAGTGGTATTGGAAACAACATTCTTTTGCTGTTTATATTATTCCCTAAAATATAATGCAGTTAGCGTTTAGTACTGCCGTGTAAAATATTCTTTCCGCAGGACTGAAGCTAGTTTTAAAAGCTACTGCCGCATTTTGATTGTCTTAAATTCTAATATATTAACTTTAATTAAAAATATTATATTACTTAAAAGAAATGTTTGGGTTTTAAATAAATGATTCGGGCAACATTTTTACTTCCGTAAAATTTGTTAAAATTAAGTTTTATATTTTAGTATACTTGAAGAAATAAAAATACTCACGTGGGTTAACTTTTGGAATATTAAATTATATCACAAACTTTTTTGAAAAAAAATAGACTCTTTATTGAAGCAAGTTTCATCTTGCTTGACTTTAGTACCATTTTTTAATTCGGTTTTATGAGTGTAAGGTTTTGTCTCACGAAATAGTTATTAAAGAACCCACGAAAAATTACTTTAAAGCTACACAATTAAGCTCTAGAATTTAAGAATTACTGACATAACTATTATAAATTCTTTAGGAATTCACTAACCAAAGACACGTTCAAATTAACGTAAACAAACTTTTTTTTTCCTGCAATCACGGTGATTGCATTGAAAAATTTTGTATTCGTGTCACCTGGTAGTTTTATTTGAATAGTGGGAAAACTACAGTTATTAGAAATAGAAGTTTGCCTCACTTTTATGCTCGTAAATTTCCCTTTAGTAGCTTTAAAACTATCAAAAAAAAAAGATCCTAACTACTGTTTAAATAAGATCTCTTATTCTCTCTATTAAATCAATAGATTTGAAGTTGTTACTTCCACTATTAAAATTTAAGGCTTGGCCGAACCAGTAGAAATAAAAGGCTAACGTTTATCTTAATGCAAGAATTGCTTTCCTCGAGAAAGTTAATGCACCAATCTTTTGCCTCTTTTTGATTTTTCGTAAGTAGTCGCTAGCTTATACGTTGATTATTCTAGAGGTCGGTAATCTTTCTGCGACTAAGAGCCATTTTCCTATCGATGCAAGTATAAGGAACTAAAAGTACGTATGTCAGTATATTAGAAACAATTTAACTGATTCCGCTTTGAAACGTGAATTTATGACAGAATTATTTTATTTTGCTCAATAACAGCTTATAATACAATAAATCAAAGGGGACTGAAATTTTTATAACCAGTTAAAATAAACCTTTATAGTGAAACCCTAATTGCAGAAGTTATGTAGCTTTGATTATAATAAGTTAAGTGTAAAAATTATAGAAACTCAAATATGTAATAGTGAGATTTTCGGGGTTTAATAAATGCTTAAAGTAATTCTGACTTTGAATATTCAGAAGTTTTTCACTTTCTACAACTTGTCAGGATTTAGACGTAAAGTATATTAATTTTTAAATTAGTTTTAGGAGAAAATAATTGTTTACAGTAGTATATAGTTCCAATACTCAAAGATGGCATCTTGCACCGGATAACGGATAAATATTTTAAAGTGGTAGACTTTTAATGAACAATTCTTTGTGTAAGAAATTCGATTTATAAGGTTTTTACTCACGACTAATTCTAAATTCTAAGGCTTATGAAGTACGCAACTTTTTGTAGTTAAGACGTCTTGTTTCCTTAAGTCTGCAAAATTGACCAAAAATCTGCAAATATTGTTTTACTTCTGAGTGTTTTTACCATACTTTGTAGAATACAGAGCAGTTACAATCTGAGATGCTGAATGTTTTAATTTCATCGAAAATATCTGGAGGACAGTTCAAATTTTCAAATATCAGTTCCACGTTAGTTAAATGGGAAGTAAAATGGGGTAGAGCACAGTTTACATATATGCTATCTGCCGTGCATTTTGATACGAGCGAAGGAAAAAGTTTATTTGGCAATGGCCATATTGCAGCTGATTTCAGTACATTGGACAGCCGTGCAATACATTGGACAAAAGTGTCCCGTATGTTAAGACATTTAGCTACATTTAATGTTTAAAAAATACTAAATTTATTTCTGTTTTTTTTACTTCTAAAAGATTTTCTGTATAAAAATTTAAATACCGTGGATGGTCTGAGTTTTTAGAATGGAATATAAGAAATTAGATGAAAGTAACATGACATAGAATATATGGTTTAATGATCAAAATGTGAAGAAATACACTGGAATAATATCGGACAGTTAAATTACTCAACCACTAATATGGCTCTAATGAGCCGTATTCGGTTGAAGAGCCATCACTAGCAGACTCCTGTTAAAGAACTATAACGTTCCAAACATTAAAAAGCAGTTGGTTTAAGTTGGAG